CCCTATTTATATCATGACTGGTTTAAGCAAAATATTAAGTTTTATGTTTTTTTCTAAGTATTTTGATATAAAAACAAATATATGGTCAGGTGTCATGTTCAAAGAGCAAAGAAATTATTTGTTTTTTAATAGCTCAATTGATGTTAGGGTTGGAAGACTATAATAATAGGAAAACTGTCTAGGGAAGTGACAATCAGCAAAGTCTGACCCTATGTTTTTCTATTTCCATTTCAAAGTAATCTCTTTATGGTATTTTCAAAAGCAAAAATTTAAACTAGATTTCTCCATTATATAAGGATTTAAATATGTTTATAAAGTACCATAATCTAAATGTTAATATTTATACATCCAGGCCACCTTATAAATCTCCATCATTTAATCAGTGGTGAGACAGGCTGACTTGAGGTGACTTGATAGTGTTACTGCTGGTCCCGTACACAGAGGATAGAGGAACCCGTCGCAAACATTCACAGGGGTTTGGATTCTCTTCTCTAAGTAATAAAGATGATCACCACTAAGATGGCTTTTGAAAAAAATTTTCTTTTTCCTGGTTTTGCATAGGTCCCTTTGGAATATACATAACAAATTACATATATACTTATATTTACTTCATAACTGTTCTTTGCTTGCTATTACATGCAAGGAAATAGGCTTCCATTGTTTTTTCCTCCCTTGTCTAGAATATAACTTTTTGCTTAATCTTTCACATATACTAATTAGTCAAAGATTTTACAATGATTATTTTCTCTTTTAAAAATACTGAATAATAGCAATGTGAGCCCAGAACTTTTTTTTTTCCCTAATGGAAAGTTACTGCTTTCACAGGTAGTTAATAATTCAAGACACATGAGGATGCAGTGTGGCAGAGAGGAAAGAGTTAAAGAGATGTGAGTTTAATACAGCTTTAAACCTATAATAGATGTGTGGCTTTAGAGAATCACTTCAGTTTAATCTTCTTTGCAATTGGAGTCACACTTATCTTGCAGAGATTTTGTGATGATTAGGAAGCTACATAACCTAACAGTGAAGATGGGAAAGACATGAATTAGAATATGACTGTCCCTGTCCCTTGTTAACTGTGTGACCTTGTGAAAACTGAGGTAAGGGTTGTCATGAAGACACAAGGACATAATACCTGCATAGTACTTGGCATGCAGTATGTGCCTAATAAATATTTGTAGTAATAGCATAGTTGTAGTGGTATTATGAGTACCAGTATTTTCACTGGTTTATTCATCATCATAATAAACAAACTCACTAAATCTGACCAAACTATTATGAAAGCATTAACTTTATCATAACTTATCATCATTAACACCACAGACAATACAAGTATGTGTACAATGTCTAAGATGATTAGAGAAAGGAGTTGCCCTATAACATTTGTGTGATTTTAAACTCATAATAGTAAGTTAGGTTCAAGCACAATCTGTGAAAAGCCCTTAAAGGAAAACTGAGTTATCCTCTTATAACTACTATAAATAAGTTCTAGCCACGGAGTCAAAATTCATTTCTTATTTATGCTAAACTTTTCAGTCATAGGACTTGAAATATATATATATATGCTGTGTATAATTAATGTAACTAAGTGGCATTTTAATAAACTTGCCATTTGGAAATGTTAGAACAAAGATACTAAAATCACATAAATTTAAATAGACTTGAGTTTTAACAATCAAGTATTAGAAATAATTTTCAAAGTTAAAAACAATATTCTTTTAACATTTATTGAACATATAGAAAAAGCCTAGGTACTGTGCTAGGAATTTTTATACTTCATTGCATTTAATAATATATTACTATCATAACCCTAAGCTAGGTAAAAGGAAAATTATAAATGTGTGGCCCTGCCTTTGTGGAGACTACAATGTATTAGATATATAAGATTATATGAAATCACATGTTTGAGGCAGAGAATAAGTACTTTGGTAAATAGTACTACTAATAAAAAGAGCTAGTGAATATAAAGTAAGTTTACATATAATTAGGATGTTAACTAATAAACTCAAAGCTGTTTGAGAGCACAAACTAACATGTAAAAAATTGAAATTGAAATACAGTTATCCATTTGAAAAGATAAAACTATAAAAGTTTTAGAAGAAAACACACACAAAGATTGGTAGAGGGCAAAGACTGGTAAGATGGGAGAAATGGGGAAGAGAAATCATTATTAAAAAAATAGATAAATTTCATTAGGATTTAAAACTTCAGAGGACATACATATGGCCAAGAGACAAATGAGAAAATGCTCAACGTCACTAATCATCAGAGAGATGCAAATTAAAACCACAGTGAGGTTATCACTTCACACCTGTCAGAATGGCTCCATCAACAAATCAACAAACAACAAGTGCTGGTGAGGGTGTGGAGAAAAGGGGAGCCCTAGTACACTGCTGGTGGGAATGCAGACTGGGGCAGCCACTATGGAAAACAGTATGGAGGTTCCTCAAAAAACTAAAAATGGAGCTGCCATATGACCCAGTGATCCCACTTCTAGGAATATATCCTAAGAATCCTGAAACACTAATCAGAAAGAATCTATGCACCCCTATGTTCATAGCAGCACAGTTTACAAGAGCTAAGATCTGGAAACAGCCCAAGTGCCCATCAGCAGATGAGTGGATAGAAAAGCTGTGGGACATTTACACCATGGAATACTACGCAGCTGTAAAGAAGAAGGATCTCATACCCTTTGGGACAGTATGGATGGACCTGGAGAATAT